CTTGAGATGCAGCACACAAAGACCTGTATCCTCGGCATTACTGAGCTAAAATGGATCAGTACTTGCCATTTGAATGAGATAGTTTTCTTCTGTTCTCCATTTATCATTTTAGTTATAGTATTAACATTATTTGATAATTCCTGCATTCTGTTGAGTCCTTTTTCTTTGGAATGGGCATATAGATGATTTGGTAGCCACTTTCCAAATTCCTTGCCCTAGACAAGCCAGTGCTTCCAGTGTTGCATTCATTTGAGGAAACATTTAAGTGGTATTCCATCAGTTGAATTTTCCCCCCTAGTTTTGCCAGTGCCTTCAGTGCAGCATGTACTTCCTTCAGTTGCCAGTTTTAGACCATATATGTGCTATCTTCTGAAATGGATGAACGCCAACAAATTAATTTTGTTACAGTGTTTTGATCCTTCCTGTATTGTTCAACTTTTTGCCCAAAGAATCCTTTGCTATTATAACGTGAGGTTTGATTTTTTTTTTCTTCTGTTTTTTCAGCTTGAGAAATGCCAAGCATGTTCTCCCCTTTTGGTTTTCAGGTCTTTGCACATTTCATTATAATTCTCTCTTCTTGAGCCAGAAGAAGATAGAAGTCTTCTGCTCAGTTCTATTGATTCACCATTTCTTCTGTCCTAGTACATTCAATAGCAGGTTTCGGAGTTTCTTCTGTTGATTTAGAAAACATGATAAAGAGTAATTATAACTGGGATAGGTCTAGTGCTTGCCATCAAGAAGGTTTTACTGTGAAGAAAATAAGAAGCAAGAAGAATGACGGTGCTAAAGTAGATGGTAGGTTATATTTTGAGAGACGATCCAATAAAAGAATCCAGAAATGAGAGCTTGTTGATTCTAGCCAAGAGGATAAAAAATGTTCCTGAGGGTGATGTTATAACTGGTCCTTGAAGAGAATAAAATAAAAAAGCAAACCACCTGTTGGAGATTCCAACTCATATGTTTCAGAGAAGAGCTTTGTTCCACAAGGGGTTTCAAGACTGTGACCTTTTAGAAGATCTCTAGTGCATTTTCCAAGTCATTTCTGGAAAGCTTTGAATGACCAACTTTTTGATTATTAATCCAGTGCTTATATATTTATTTTCCACTTGTAGTCAAGTGATATATCAAGCAATAATGCACAGTCTATATGACACAAGGATATGTATGTTTATTGCATGTTGTTGTTATGTACCATTGAGTTGGAACCAAACCATAGCTGACCCTCCAGTAGGTTTTCAGAGGCAGTTAATTGCATAGGAGGAGATTGCCCATCCTTCTCCCATGGAGCATCTGATGGATTTGAACCAAGTGCCTTTGGTTACACAGCTTTTTACCACTAGGCCACCATAGCCTCTCCAGAGTACTGAAGAGCAACAATATCAGTCTACAGACCAAGGTGTGCCTGATGCAGGCCATGGTCTTTAAAATTACTTGCTATGCATCAAGAGCCGGACAATGAGTAAGGATAACAGAAGAAGAATTGGTGCCTTTGAGTCGTGGTGTTGGAAAAGAGTAGTGAATATATATATATATATCACGGACTGCTAGGAGAATAAACAGGTTCATCCCATAGAGAGTGAAACCACGTTGCTCCTTGAAGGCAAGGATTCTGAAGCTCCATCTGACATACTTTGGGCATGTTGCAAGGAGGGACCAGTTCTTGGAGAGGGACCTCTTGCTTAGAAGGGTGGAGGGACATCATGCTTGGAAGAGTGGAGGGACAGTGCAAGAGAGGAAAGCCCTGGATTGACTAAGATGGATTGACTCAGTGACTGAGGTAATGGGGGTAGGTGTATCAGAGGCAATAATGTTGGCTCAAGATAGAGCAAGGTTCAGAGTTGTTGTACATAGGGTCACTATTTTTCACAGGCAACTGGACAGCACATAATAACAACAACATAGAGTCTTAGGGGAGCAGTGAAATTTGTAATTGTATGTTTAGCGGCAAACTTGACCTCTATAAATTGGATTTCAGAAGTTTTCTCCCAGATGGAGCAACCAGTAGTTTCTCTAAACGTTGTCAAACATCCTTTTGAGGAGGGGCATGGGATAAAATAGCTCTCAGAAAAGCACCACTGATATGTAGAAACAAAACATACAAAGGACTTCTTTTCCCTTCCCTCCACAGCAGATAAAAAGTTCTACAACTCATGAGCTGGATTTTCTTTTTTAGGTTCCCTATTCAATGGTTCTTAAGCTCGTTTGAGTCAAGTAAGCTTTGAACTACAGTCTTCAGTATGGATGAAATCTCAACACGAAGAAAAGAAAGATGCTCACAACTGGACCAATAGGCAACATCATGATAGATGTAGAAAAGTTTGAAGGATTTTTTTTTTACTCGGATCCACAGTCAACACCATGGGAGCAATAGTCAAGATAAAAACAAAGATGTGCTGCATGGGGCAAAACTGTTGTCAAGGAGCTCCTCGAAATGCTAAGGAGCAAATATGTTGGTTTAAAGACCTTGAGTCACCTCATTGCACCTGACAACACACATTAAGTTGAATATAATATTAAGGATCTATAGAATTGTCATGATGTATATTTTCCTGCTAGGTGAGGAACCAAAAGATGATGTTCATCATTGTTGTTGTTATGTGCCGTCAAGTAGCCTGCAACTCAGAACATCCCTATGTGCAACAGCTCTGAACCTGCCCTGTCCTGAGCCAGTCCTATTGACTAGGACACACCAACCCCCATTGCCCTAGTTACTATACCAATCCATCTCATGTGGGGTCTTCTCCTACACTGTTCCTTCACCCTACCAAGCGTGATGTCCTTCTCCAAAGACTGGCCCCTCCTTTGGTCATGAGCCCAAAATATGTGAGATGGAGCTTCAAAATCTTTGCCTCCAAGGAGAAACTTGGTTTCACCTTTACCAAGACACACCTGTTTGTTTGCTTCAAGACTCTTCTCCAGCACCACAACTCAAAAGCATCACTTTTTCTTCTGTCATCCTTAGTCATTGTCCAACATATCCAAGCATTGCTATAGAGTCTATCCCACCTCATCTAGTAACCCTATACTGCAGAACTCCCCTACAGAATGTCAAGGCTGCACTCTTACAGAAGTTCAAACCATTGACCTTTCAGTTAGCAGCACACAACCAGTGCTACATGTTCAGAACAATTAATTGGTCAAGAGAGAATTTCCCTTTCCCCTTTCCTCAGAAGCCTACTTTGATCAGTTTTATAAGATTCATCCTGGCAAAAGACAAAGTATAGCAAGGACAGGACAGGTTCAACTCCCCCTTTGCCCTTCTTTCTAGTTGCTAATTGTCCAGAGACAAAAAAAAAAAAAAAGAGCACCAATCCAAGAAGAAACAGTAACCCCAATACTTTATTGTTCAATACCAGAAACATGTTATTGCTGTTATGTGCCTTCGAGTCACCTTCGACTCATAGCAACTCTTTGTAAAACAGTCCTAAACCCTGCTTCTATCCCTAGCCAATCTTACTGTCTCCGACACACCTACCCCCATTTCCCCAGTCACTGAATCAATCCATTTCATCCAGGGTCTTCCTCTCCTGCCTTGTCCCTCCAACCTCCCAAGCATGACGTCCCTCTCCAAGGACTGGCCCCACCTTGCAACATGTCCAAGGTATGTCAGACAGATCTTCAGAAATCCTTGCCTCCAAGGAGCAGCCAGGTCTCACCCTCTCTAGGATGAACTTGTTTGTTCTCCTAGCAGTCCATGATATATTCAATACTCTTAAGTGTGCAGAATAGGCATCTTTTAGTCCTAATACAAAGTGAATCCCCCAATAACTGCCATTGTCTGGGTTCTTTGAATGACTCTCTAGAAACCCAAATCCAAAATTGGTCATCGCTCTGGTTTCCCTGTCCCTGGCACCTGGTATGTGCAGATGTGCCAGAACCTGTGGCGCCCTGATCTTGCACAACCTAGTGGTCAAGGTCAACACTCCAGCAAACTTGACCTCGTGCCCCACCTCCTCGGCTCAGCCCTCCAGTAATAAACTCCCCAGGAGGACAGACCAGGCTGGGTTAGCAATTTTTGAGTGAATGAGGATCTGGGTGGCTCCTGTGTGACAACCAGTTAAAAAGTCTCAGCCTTCCTGGTTCGGGAAGGAGAAAGAATGAGGGAGGAGTAGGGTTCCTTTCCCGGTAGCATAGGAAGGGAAAAGCCCGTCCTGGGTCTCCATTTCAACTAAGATGTCTCTGTTGCTCCATAAACAAACATCTCCCTCTCTTCAGCCAAAGTTATAAAGGCAGCAGGACTGCTGCCTCGGGGGCTTTCGGGAGAGGGAGGAGCCGAAGCTGGTGAGTTTGCTGCTGGGCACACAATACTGTTTCCGACCTGCACTCAGCCAGGGTTAATTCCCTGGGAGACTAGGCTGGTTGGGGCTGGGGCTGGTGGAGGGACACTGAAGGGGGAGGGAGGGCTGGGCCAGCACAGACTCTTCTCTGAGAAGCAGAGAGACAAGGTTTGAGCAACATCACGGGGGAAGGATCTGGCTCCACTCTCAAAGAGTTGTGCGCCAGGCAGGGAGGGCTCTGCCGGCTAAAGGAATTGGCCAAAAGCGTGCGTCCCAGGAGTGCGCCCCGAGCGTCCTGGGCGCGCAGTGACTGTGTAGCCACCTGCGCCAAGTCGCAAGGGGCTCGGGGGCCCCCCTTTTTGCCTTTTCGCGCCCCTAGTTCTGTTTTAGGAGATTTCAGGACGCGGACAGCGCTTCAGCTGTCGTCCAACTGGGCCTAGGTGGCGCTTGGGAAGCACCCCAGGAGGAACTCACAAGGGCCAGTGCAGATCACGGGGCCACAGGTTCTCGGCCCCAGGGCGTCGGGCAGTGCGTGCCCTTTGGGGGTGGGGTGGGTGCTTGGGAGCAGCCGGCGGCGGGGCGCGGCTCAGGTCAGGGAAGCCTCTAACTGGCCGGGCTGCGGAGGGGGTCGCCGCCTCCGCCTCCTGCCCCTCCTTCTCCACCTGGCTTCTCCTGCCGGCTTCATCTCCTGTTTTTTCCTGGTCTTCCTCGGTGTCGCAGGTCATGGCCGATTTGGGTGGCAGGTCCGAGCAGCCGCAGCTCCCTGAGTACAGCTGCAGCTACGTGGTGTCGCGGCCGGTGTACAGTCAGCTCGCCTGGGAGGAGCAGTACGAGCGGCGCTTGCCAGAGCGCAAGACCCTGCGGGAGCGCCTGGCGCAGAGCTGCAGGTAGGGCCGCCGGAACATGGAGGGCTCTCGGGGATGCGCGGCAGGGCGCATGGTTCCAGCGCAGGCCAGACTGGGGAAGAGTCATAGGGTCGCCTCCACTCCCAGCTCCATCCTCCTTGGGAGAGGATGCCCCATCATTCTCTGCCCCAAAGTGTTCTCTCTGATGCTCATCTTTGGCGCGCTTGTGCGCTCCAAGCCTCACCTTCCCCCCCCCCCCCCGTAAAGAAACCTGGAGTCACTTTGGGGATACCGCGGTCCCCTGTGCCTTCCTTGAGGGTTGGGCTGAAGAAAGCAGGAAGGGAAGGGGATAGCCTAGAAAGAGACTATGGGGAAACTCACCTGGCGGGAGTTCTTGAACCCTCAAAGTAATGTGGGCAGGATGCCACTCATTTGGGGACACGGGTGGAAAGCTAAAATTTGGGATAGCGCCCTGAGTTCCAAATTCTTAACCCTGGGGCAGTGGGACCCCTAGGGGAACCACCACCGTGCTTAAACCCAAATGTGCCACCTGCAATTAGTTATCACAACCGTGACTTAGAGTCAGAGAACCACTGCCAGATTTTCTTTCTTTCTTTAACTCTTTCTGTTATGGGGTATTTAAAACAAAAATAGAATGGTCTGGTGAACTCCTGCCAACCACATTTAAAACCCATCAGCCGGCTTTAACAATGATGAAATTAAAAATGAATCTTGGCGTTGATCTTACACTTCCTAAGGTTGGTGAAATTTGGTCTCCTTGTCAGAAGGTACCAGTTTTTGGAAAAAGACAACTTACTGGGCAAGATGGAAAGTTAGAGATTGAGAGGAAGACCCGCAACGAGATGAATTGACACAGTGACTGTTAACATTGAGCTGGAGCCTATCAGAAATTGTGAGGATGGTACAGACTAGGACAAAGCTCAGGTCGCACTATTTAATATAGGTGACTCAATGACACCTAATAAAAACTTAATATTTTGAAGCAAATCCCACAAGTCCCCCCTTTCTGTATCTATTTCCACATGTATCTTTACATACTTTAATATAACCATAATTCTACTAGTTTACCTAAAAACATACTTCACCAAATACTCAGATACAGTCTAAATGTACAATTATTTCAAAGATGTCATAAGTAAAATTCATTCTTTGAACCAGAGGCAAAACAAGCTCCACCTGCTCTTGATGCCTTTTAAGTTTCTTTCATCCATAGGTTGCCAAACTTAAACAATACGACTTAACAAGGTATACATTCATTATGTTAAAGTTTTGTGGTTTTTTTTCTTTTTAAAGAAAAACTGACTCCAAAGTTGTGATACTAAAACATAGTGTGTTTATTTTTCTTTTTTAAAAAGAGTAATAATAATAATAATGAGGCGCCTGGGTTAGAAGTCCAAAAACTAATCCCCATTTAGTGACTCCACATTGATCAGCCTGTGGCTAGACCAGAAAATGGGTTTTTGTGTCAGAATATTTTTTCAGAGGATTAAATCAGGTGGAAATGGGGAGGGGACACTTAATCCTGTGTTTTCAAGTACAGTGTGTTTAAAAAGTAGATTCAGATCTTGGCAAAATCATGGCAAGCACTTCAGTGTTAGTATTTTCTGTGTAATTTTTATTCTTTTTCCTAAATTGTTGTAGATGCAGAGTTCAGTTCATAACTTGGTGCTTTGCAGTTGATGGTGCCAAAATTGTATTGGAAACCTTTTCTTCTTGGTTTTCAACAGTTGTTCAAGAAAGAAAAGCCTTCGTGTGCTAAAGACTCTCCTGCCCATTTTGGAGTGGCTCCCCAAATACCGAGTCAAGGAATGGCTGCTTAGTGATATCATTTCAGGAGTCAGTACTGGCCTGGTGGCCACACTGCAAGGTAAGATGTGATGAGCTTGCCGCCCAATGACTGAGAGTCTGTTTCCACCAACAGTTCATAACTTCCCTTGGCTTTCATGGGGATCTGTACCAAATGCTTGCTCACCTTTCCTGCCAAGACCCTTTAACTTTTTCCTTCAGCCTCTTCAAGGGCTCCAGACCCCATCGAAGACCTATTTCCTCCCTCTCCTCCATTTTCCCTTTGTGACTGGATTTTTTTCCTTCCTGGTATGACTGACAAAATGTGTAGCCATGTCCATTCAGATAAATTCTCAACTACCACACATGAACGAGATAGACTGACACCCAGTGACTGCAACAATGAACTTGAGCATGGCAAAGACTGTGAGGATGGTGCAGGACAGGACAAGGTTATGCTCTGTTGTTCATTAGAGTCATTATGATCATAGTCTACTCAACAACACATAACAGCAGTGAGGTATTGTAAAAGAGTTCTAGGGTATGAATTCCTACAGGTTGAGTTGTTAAAACAGTTTCCCTGAAGGATAAAGCTAGTTTATCAAATGATGGAATGTAAGGTAGAATGGGGATGTGTGTAGAAAGATTACCTGAAAATTTATCATTTCTGAAGTTTTGAGTTGAGCAATGTTGAGGAATGTGGGGCAGAAGATCAAAGAATATAGCCTTCAATATGGGTTGCAACTCAATGTCAAGAAAACAAAGATTCTTGCCACTGGACCAATAGGGAACATCATGATAGATGGAGAAAAGATTGAGGCTGTCAATAACTTCATTTTACTTGTATCCACAATTAACACCCTTGGTACCAGAAGTTAGGAAATCAGGAGACATATTGCACTGGGGAAGTCTACAGTTAGGGACCTGTCCAAATCAATGAAGACTAACGATGACAGTTTGAGGACTAAAGTGTGTCTGATTCAGGCCATGGTCTTTCCAATCACTTGCTAATGCATCTGAGAGCTGGACAATGAATAAGGATAACAGAAGAAGAATTGATGCCTTTGAGTTGTAGTTTTGGAGAAGAGCGCTGAACGTCCCATGGACTGCCAAAAAATATTTCTTGGAGAGAGTACAGCCACAGTGCTTTTTTGAGGCAATGATGATAAGGCTTAGCCTCACATACTTTGGGCATGTTGCTAGGAGGGGTATTTCTTGGAGAGGGACATTATACTCAGAAAAGTAGAGGGTCAATGAAGGAGAGGAAGACCTTCAACCAGCTGGATTGACAGACACAGCTACTACCACAGTGGGCTCTACTGTGTCAGGCAGTGTGAAAATGTACAGGATAGGACAGGGTGCAGATCTTTTGTTCCTAGGATTGCTAGGGGTTGTATTTGAAGGCACCTAACAACAGCAATGTTGTAAGCCAAGATTTGACTGTGGAGCTCTCACTCAGCTATTACTCAGTGCAGGTCAGGTAAATATCCACAGAGGAGTAAAGTGTTCCATGCAGGACTTGAAGCCAATTCATTCTCTTTAGACCCTGTGCTGAGAATTTGCATCTCCCCCCCCACAGATACTCAGTCAGAGTCACATTTTGGTAAGATTTACAGGTGATGCTCATGTACCAGATACACAAGTGTACTATATACATAGGAATTACCTGGGGCTCTTAGTAAGCTGTAGATTCTGGTAAAGTATATCTGAAGCATAGTACTTTATGCTAACTAAAAGATTGGTAGTTTGAAACCACTTGATGCTCTGAAGGAAAATGATGGTCAGTGTCCTTTTGTTAAGATTTATAACCCCAGAAACTCAATAGAGGGTCAGTATTACTCTGAATTGACTGACAGCAGTGATTTTGGTTTTAATGTATCTGAGGTGAAGATGCAACTTCTCCGCAGAGGACTGAGCTGGAATGAACTAGTTTGAAGTCCTGGCTCCCTGGCCCTAGAATGGAACCCCCTCTAATCAACTGTGTTTCTCTCTCAAAGGCAGAAATCATAGAAAAGTATAAGGCTGTATGGTTCATAGGCTAAACAATACCAAGTGCCCTTAAGCACATCAGGCTCTACCAGGCATGAAGTGACACCACTCTGTGGATCTTGAGGGACAGAAACAATGCCTAATCTGTATTTACTCAGTGCCCAGTACAGAGATTAGCATGTAATAGATAAACCTATAAATATACAGTGAGGAATATTAGATTGAATTCCTGATAATGAATAATTTTTGTATATGAAAGGTGCAATATCAAGCCTCGTGTCTTCTGATTTCTCTAAATTATTTTCTAATAATCAGTTTTACGTATTAGTAATGAGACTACGAGCAGTTAGCGCACTTAATCCCCACAGTAATCTTGCAAAGTAAGCACTAATATCGTGTCCTTTTTTAGAATACGTGGAATCTTTTAAATATTGCCCAAAGTCACAGACTTAGATTCAAGTCTATTTTTTATGATTATAACTAATACACTGTTTAGTTCTCTCCTTTATAGAGAATGCATTTTCCAGATACATCATCTTTCCAAAGTTGTCTTTGTAAAGTGAATTTCGAGGAGGTTAATTGTTTGCTTCATTCATTCAACAAATATTCAGCAACTAATTCTGTATGTCAAGTGTTTAGCTATGGGGATTCAGTAGCTTACTGACAGATACAATTGCTGAACTTACGAAGTTATTAAGCTGATTACTAATGCTAGATACAACGCGGTGATAAGGGCTTCAGGTTAAAAATGGCTTCCCCATCCATTAAAGTACTTTGCCTTGTGGATGGGCAGGAATATGCAAAGAGAATGTTTTAGCTTATCTACAAGAGGTGGTTTTTTCCTATGCATACCATCAGGTGAAATCCATGTGTATAATCTACGTTTATGTCTCTTAAAAAACGTATTTGCAATGAATAAGTCATTGATTGTGCAAAATTCAATCATTCTATCTCCAGCTTCATTTCTGTCACCAAGTCCATGTTTT